GGTCATCTCTTTCTTGAGGTCCTGTTATTCTGGCTGTAGTGGGAAATGCTTTTCCAGGTGGTTGAACCATGCAATGAGGAGCGGTCTCCAACAAATGATGCAGCTCCTCCAAAAGACCAGCGAGCCGATCAAGCTCCACCTCATTCACTGCAGAGGAGCCGAGAGGTGGGTCCTCCTCCATCGGGCTCTCAGCGCCCTCCACGTCCTCCTACAGGGGATCATAACACTACATTAGATTCATTAAAATGTTAAATACCATGTATCACAAAGCTACGCACCTGAACAGGCTCACGATCACTAAGGGAGTCTGCAGACCGCTGTAAATCTGCCAGCACCTCATAAACATGACTCTTCTGAAGAATGGCATTTCCAGCTGTTATAACTCTTACAGTTTCTTCACGCAAGAATAAATGAACCAGGCGCTGTCAAGACAAACAATCGACATTCATTGACCAAAAAAACATACTTTAAATAGCATTATACTATAAATATAATTAAAAAAAAGAAAGTGGGTATTTACATTACAAACAACACTCATTTCTCACCTGATATCCACTCTTTTCATCACCCTCTGACTGCAGGAAAGCCTCCACACCAGCAGGAGCGCTGATCAGAGCATCCAGAGCCTTCAGGAGGCTGAGTTTCAGTGTTGAGGAGACATGGTCCGTGTGAAGGAGCTGCAGCAGCACATTTAAGGCCCCATCTCGGAGCAGTGCAGCCAGGCCCTGAGGACATTCTGCCAAATTAGAAGCCAGTTTGGCCCCTGCTTTCAGCTGCCGGAGGTTCAGAGCTATGGGCTGTGTAAGAGCGATGTCCATATTCAGAGCTTGCAGAGCCCATTGTATAAATGTGGATATTTGCTCTTCCACTTTATCCTCCCCCTCACACTGTTTAATCAAGGAAGCTAATCCTTTAGACAGTAGTCCTGGTGCCTCCTCCAGTGCAGTGACCCACCGGGCATCTCTGTCTGCTCCAACAGAAGCCTGCAGTTCTCTGAGCTGAGCCACAGCCTCAGCCTCTTCTCCGACACTCTCCTCTGTGCCTCCAGGGTCCACAGGCTCTTCCACACTAGCCTTCTCCAGCTGAGTCTCAAAGCGGGTTTTATATGGAGCACTGAAGTACTGCATCGGCCTGAGTTCACGCTCATATGGATCATACTGAACAGGTGGAACTGAAGCCAGGTCCTCAGCCGTGTAGTCCATGTCAAATGTTGGCAGTTTGAAGCTGCCATTATCAAGGTCATCTTCATCACTGGAAATCTGCTCGTAGCCATCATTATCTACAACAAAAAAACAAACCGATTTGAGCAAATCATAACTTAACATTATTTCACCATAGATTACTAAAACAACAATATTTAAACAACAACTCCTCACCGAAACATCACACTGCAGACATGCAAATTTAGCTTATCATGCAGGATATTATTGTGATGTAGGTCAGGCTGTTAGGATGCTGGAGGGACCATTGCACATGTCAGCTTGGGATGAGTAAAAGCATTCTCACCAGCCAAATGTAAACCATCTAGTAACTGCTAATGAGCATCATGCTAGAGCATGTATTCAAATGGATCCTTCTCCAGCTGGTTCCAAGGATAAACATGCCTGCACAGCGCACAGTGTAGCCTCTTGGACTGTGGTAGGAATCCATTTGGAAAGTCAGGCTTTCCTGTTCCACATAAACCTCCCATACCTTCCTCTAAGTCCTGGTCCTCACCCTCATCATCCTCCTCTTCATCCTCCAGAGCGCTGCCGTCGCTGCGTGCCTCATCAGGGTCCTCCTCTTCCTCATCCTCTTCACCCTCTTCCTCTGCCTCAGCATCAGAGTACGGCTCATCTGCCGGCAGCGACCGCTCGGGTGAGACAGCCTCCAGGTAATCATCACGGCCCTCACATGCCTCCACTTTCACAATGCCCACTGCAATCAGTGCAAGATAGAACATGATAGAGTTGTAGAGATTAATGAAAATGAATTAAATTCACCTATATTTACTTATATTTAATTATTCATACTTGTCATTGGGAGTTGTTCATCATCATCATCGTCTGGTGGGGGAGGGCCAGGTGGTGTGCGTGGCCCCCTGGGACCGAGTCTGGGGGGACTCCCGTTGTAATGCTCATCTTTTTCCCATTCTAAAAACAGATAGTGCACTGAAATTAGGCTCAAGAAGGTGTGGAGGGTCAAGTTTCAGTTTCACATTTTGGGTGTGGGGTTTCATTCGGACGATGCACACCTTGTTTTACTCTTTTGAGCCCACTCTGCTGTTGAGGGGGAGGGGGAGGTGGAGGAGGCGGTGAGCCCTGGTCATGTCCATGGGAACGCTCTGCGGTCCCATACACAGCCACAGTCAAACTTGTGTACCAGCCACGCAGAACTAGGCCATCTGTGTTCACCTGCACATTCAACAGACAAATATGTAGTTAATCACACTAAACCATGCCAATGTCAACCTTGGATTATTTCACTTGCCTTTGCACTTGGTCGGAAAACAATAGACTTGTTTTCATCATATTCGAGACTGAGGAGAGAAAAGACAACAGGCTTAAAACAAACACCTTGTGATAATACAGATCATTATCATTTTAAGAAGACCCAAAAGTTTCATGTAACAGTAGCCAAACTCTTCAATGTTTAAAAACTGTTACTGTTGTTCAGAACTATGGGAATTGATATTTTCCTGTAAGGGGTGTGTTCAAGAACATTTCTTTTTCATATTAAAAAAATCATTAGGTTTACATTCCAATGTGATTATCCACACCTCTTGTTTCACAGATGAAAAAAAATCAAGTCAAAACATCCTCTGCTCCTCTATTACAGTGGAAACTCCTACGTTTGAGTGTCACTTTCTGCTACTGCGTGGGTGGAGCTGTGTTTCTGGAGAGACCAGTTGGCTAGGTGAGGAACAAAGAACCTGAATATAGGTTGTTGCCAACACAATAAACACACAGGTCCTCCACAAAAGGGCTCAATTTCTTCCATGACCGGTTCTTCAGGTGAGACCAACTTGAGCATCATTTTTTTATCCACAGATGCAAAATAAAGGTCAAGGATTAGTACATAGATGAAAATCCTGACCTGCCCAGTCTGTGGAAGGTGGAGCAGTTGGGCTTGGTGACGTTATTGAAGAATATCTCCAGCTGAAATGCATGAGGAGACGTCTCACTGGAAAGAAAGAGGAAGCAAAGTCCTTAATAACATAAACACAACAGGTGCCAAAATGTATGTTAAGTTTTTAAGTGTTTGACTTTCGTAACTGATATGGGCTTTTCCATATATATTTAATTATCAATAAGCGGGTTCATCAATTTATGTTGAGCATTTGTGCAATGTGAAGGTCCATAGAAAAATTTGTATATGTTTTACTACTTACTGTTTTATTGTGTATTTTGTTTATAATATATTCTATACTGCGAAGGAGTTTTCAATACATTCAGAAATGTGATATATATTGATATTTTTTGTAACTTGGAACAATCCCATATTTTCAGTCTGTTTTATTTACTAATTGTATTAGGCATTAGATTTATTAGACAAACTCTATTGATCCACGAGGAAAATTATTTGGACACAGTAGCTCACACATCACAGTATAATAAAATAAAAAAAGAGTAAAAAATATAAATGGTAAGAATACATTCGAAATAAGTAGCAAAAAGGCAGGTTTCAAATAAGGCATAATTCTATAAATGTATATGTACAAGTCAAAGTAAGCAATAAAATAAGTAATAAAATATAAAATCTCAGCTATATAGCATAACAGACATATCCTTTTGAATAGTATACTTACACAGTAAAACATCTAAACAGGATTATTTCCAATTAGGTAACATTTTGTATCGCATTATTAATAAATGCTGCAAACAAATTCTGCTTGAGATCTTACCCAAATGCTCTGTTATCTGGTAAACTGCTGTGAGCTTTTAATCCTGGAGGAATGACCCGTACTTCTGTTATTAAGACTCCACATGGAAACCGCACCACGTCAACATTGGTTATCTAAAACAGATCAAAATATAATACGAAAAATTGAGCTTCTGCATAAAATTTTGTAAATGTTATTCATTCATGCTATACAAAAACAGAGTCCGCAAGGAAATAAACACAATACGGCAAGAAAAATACTTATACAAGATTAGATAAGAGGAGAGAGTGTGGGTAAGTTCGTGATCAATATAGTCTGCAGAAGTCTGAAAGTAGTAGATTGTAAAAGTTAAAAATATACGACATGATAAAGTAAACCCGTTAGCCACTGTTAGCAAGTTTAGCATCCCACTACAACAACTGCTAATATAAACGGCATACACAATGCAATAAAATATTCCCATACTTCAAAACAGCCCCCGAATGATGGAGAATAAAACAGTTTACCTCTGCACTTTGATGCTTAAATGTATCTAAAAATAAAAGCTCCACAGAAGTCTCCCCCGCCATCGTTTTCTACGGTCCACGGAGAACGGGTTACTTCCGGGATCCCAGACTAACACTTCCGGTTTGGTTTTGGTTCTTTTTTTAAAATACTTTTTATTTATTTATTTTTTTTAATATTACTTACATTTTACTTTTGTGTCTATTTTTATGCGTAGATTCATTTAATTACCGAATACTGTAGTTTACTTTTTACGTTTTTATTGACCATTATTTAACTCATCATCATTTCATGACATTGACCTATAATAATGAGGCTTTAATTTTACAAATTTGATATCAGAAGAATTTTTAAATTTTTTTAGTTTACTGAGAATTTGACCAGAAATTTTATCTTGATGCGAGCGGTGTGTTAAAACCAGAATGAATGACTATGGATGAATAATTATAATGACGATGATGATGTAATAAATAAAGCTGACATGAACCAACTGCACACACACACAAAAAAAACACATGACACGTGTCTCTTAACGGCACCTGAATGAAGGCGGGACCAGGTGAGATCACGTGGTCACACAGGTAGGCGCACTACAAAAACGAGGAACGTTCAGCCATTACTTTGCGATGGTGACGGAGGGAGGTTTCACGTAAAACAACACATCGTGAAACACTTGAGTTTGTGAATTTCCCTCTCCGATCAGGGGTCCAAAAGAAGCACTTAGAAGTTATCCATTACGGGTCCCTTCTCCAACCTGTCCGCCGAATCTGTGAAGAGTTTAAGCTTGTTTTAGTTTTTTTTGTTCAAATGACGGCGCAGGTAGATTACCTGGCGGTGGTTTTCACTGCTACATCTGGCACCAGCGGTGAATGGCTCGGTTCTGATGAGAAGGAGACTGTACAGCTTATGTGGCAACTTGTGGATGTCAAGAACAAAAAGGTATGGACTTCTTCTTCCATTTAAAAACTTTATGAGTTGAATATGAAGTGTGGTGCCTAAGTAGAGTAAAACAAAACAGTGAAGTGAAACAATAGCTTACTTTTATATAGCCCCCTATATCATGGTGAGGCCTACAGCTCATGCTTTTGTTATTAAGATGTCATTACTGAGAATCTGTTTTTTGTTACTGTAATAAGGAGTTATTTCATTATTCAGTAATATTCTAGTTCATATTGATGTCTAAAATCTATAGGCTATAGACTTTATTCTATACATAAAGGCTGCATGTTATATCAATTGTATCAGGCTACCACAGGTGTTTGGAGCTATGTGATCTTCTTCTTATTAAACTGTCAACAATTCAAGCTTGTATAACAATTATTACGTAAAAAGACTAAACAGAATTGTTACTACATTCTAATAGCACACTTTATTGTGCAATATCAATGTCAAGTGTAAACCATTATCGTGTCACTTTTCTCTGTAGCTGAAGAGCCTTATAGATGAGTTTCTGAACACTGCTGTTTCAGGCCTGACATGTTTTTTTTTCCCCACTCTCTAAACCAGTTGGGCAAGGTGAATGAGCTGCGCATTAAGCCTGACCTCTCAGACTCAGAGGAAAAGCAGGAGGATGAGGTGGAGGAGAGCACCACAGAGCAACACAACTCTGGGGCAGACTGTGTTACTACTGCAGAAAATCTAGAAACCGCCCTAAATCTGGTAATAACCTTGTAATAATAATAATAATAGGTTGGGTTCATGTGACATCACAATATTCTTGAATCCCTGTAGTTTAAAATTGAGCTGGACAACAGGTCAGAATTTTATGGTGGGAATTTGCTGTTTAACTGTCAGATTGTAGATTTGCTGCCCTGGTTTATGGCTAATATCTTTGTAATTACTGGGCCTGTCCTCATGAAACAAAAACTGGCATAGACTTCTCTGTTAGCATAAATAAACAAAAGTGAAATAATCTTTTCCACAATATTTTCAGAAAGTGAAACTCAAAAGGTGTAAATGTTGTATGATGAAAGTAGTAAGTTTGTGGACTCACTCCCAAATAAGTATTGTCAAGTTTTAAGTTTATTTTAGATATTTCTTTCATAAACTGTAAATCTCCCATAGAGTTATATAAGCTCTTGACTACCATCTGAGATCATGTCAAATCGAAAATGTGAACACAACCTATTGGCTAAACTAGAAACGCTTCCTTTTGATGTTTCATTTCATTAAAATTTTCCCAAATGCTTAATATTCGCAGTTTCATCTCCAACTCACGAATGAGGTGAACAGCGCGGGCACAGGCACGTCGGTGTGTTTGTGTGCGGACGGGCAGCTCCACATCCGTCAAGTGATTCACCCCGAGGCAGCAAGCAAGGTGAGCCGGCTGGGTGGGTACACGCCTCGGAGCTGGGGCGGTGCTGTGAACTGCAGCAAAACCAACCACAAAGAGATATGTCAAATCAGCACTTCACTTATGTATACATTTAGTGCGCTGCTATGAAAATGTACTGATTTGGGTAGGGTAAGGGCTGGGAATCTGAAAGTACAAAAAAACTACAGCTAAAAAAGGCGGTCTTTTCATAGTTACACTTAGAATATAGTTAGAGTTATATAAAACAAGTGACAGGCCAAACTTTTGTCAAAACAATGAGTTAGCATTCCCTCAAGCAACCTATGCATAATGTAAACTTAAATACAATTGTAATAGACCAAAAACTTGATTACAGCTGTTGTTTATCCATTGATGATCATTGTATGCTTGCCCTGTGTTTCATGTTTATTTATTTTTAAGGGACAGTACATATTTATGTTAGGGAGAGGACTGGAAACAATGCAGTTATTCAGGCAGAAATAGATTCTATCTGTAATAATAATTTGGTTGTTCTTGAACTTTTATTACATAAATGATAGTGAATGTTTTGGTTTGAATATTTAGGACATGGACACATGGCTCAGCACATCAACATCAGAAATGTTGTTGGAAATATGTGCCAAACACCCATAGAGATGCATTAGTCATAACAAAAAAAAAGTAAACAAAAGAGTCGTTGAACAACCTGATAAGTTTTCAGGTCACTGGTGGTAAATATATTAATTTACATGGTTGGAATACTTTTCATTGAATGCTATGTTAGTATTTAGCATCTTAAATTGGTCATGGGTTTAAAATTAGGCTAAATGAAAATTCTATGAGGTGTGATGGCCCAATCTGTATAACTTACTCTACCAGTCAAAAGTTTAGACACACCATCTCATGTATTTCATTTTAAGTACTGTCTACACTTGAGATACATGCAGAAGACATCATATATATTTATGAAGTAATATATATGGAATTATATAGCCAAGGAAATGTAAAGTATCATTGCTTTGTCAACAAATATTAATAATCATTATTTAACTTTTTGTTTATTACAGATTCCTTATATCTTGCGTCATATATTTGATGTGTTCCATATGCATCTAAAAAGTAGAAGTAATAAAAATAAAGAAAAAAACTTAAATGAGAGGGATGTGTCCAAACTTTTGATAGGTAGTGTATTTTAAGAAAAAAAGTTAACTTGAGCATTTTCTTTTCCCATCCATCAGTACTAGTACATTCAGTCCAGAAATTTGCCGTGCATTACAGCTGCTGCACGTGTCTTCACTCTCTGTCCTTTGACTGACATCAGAGGAGAGCCAACAATAGTAAAGTTGTTAACAGCCACACTGTTGATTTAACACCACCCATTCACATTTGTTTTTCAGAACATCCTTGTACCTGACTGTTTCTACTCATTCTTTGACATCCGCAAGGAGTTTAAGAAGCATTTTCCTGCCTCGGATCTCAAGGCTTTGAATGTGCAAAACATGGCAGAATGTATCCTTCCTTTTTTAAATTATTATAGCTCTGCAAAACTAGTTGTTGGTGATTTTTACAAATATTTTATTTATTCAATATTTTACCTGATAGGTCAATTGAGAATAACTTTTTATTTACGATGATAATATGGCCACAACATATACAATTATTTATAAAAGTTAACAGATGAAAACATGAGCACTAATTCTGATAAATATTCTCTTGATTGTACACATATGTACATCTGAAGTTTTGGGATTATGCCAGTTACAATAATAATGGGATATTTGTGTAATGTGCTTAAAATGTGTTTCTAAATTTCTAGGTTGATGTTCAAAGTGAAATGAATTGACTGTAAAATTAAGCAGAACACATGCCCTTACTTGGAAGATTGTACTACCACTTTCATTATTTTATATTGTATTCGGTCCTTTTACTAGTGAGAATATTATATATTGTCAAAATTTTGCATTTTTCCAAAACAGCTATTTAAATATATAGCCCACATCTATGCAAGCCTAGGAACAGTTATAATTTGCCTCTTTTTCTTTGATAGCACTTAGACCACACGTAGCATACATCAGTGGTTTATAGGTCACGGGTGTTGGCTGTAGGTTGAGAGGTTTTGAAATGCAAATAAGCACACAATGAAGCACCTTACTATGAGCTCAGTGAAAGAGGGTATGTTTAGTCAACAGAAACACCCCACACGCCCAATCAACCAGGAACTATTGCTCGTGCTTTTACCATTACATTTGGACTGCAAGTTTGATAGCAATGAAATTGAAATTACAATTGAATGGTCACAACTTATTAGCCTGTTTCCACCAGGGATGTCAAAAGTCAATAAATATTCAGATATGAATCAATAGTAAAACTAGTATCGAAGCTAGACACTCATTGTAGTAACAGTAGTAACAATACTGAAAAACAAATTGTGTTTTTTCAAGTACAGTTGCGATTTATGTTAAAAAAGTAGATTTTGTTCAGAGTGCACATTGTAAACAACTCCAGGCACATTAACAGAAAACTGAATTTCAGAACCTGTTTGTAAACGTCTAAACTACAGGTACAACAAGATTTTTCTATATAAAAGCAGAGGATATTCTTGCTATTGAAATTGCAGCCTTTGCAGTTTGATGGCTGTACAGCTCAAACTATGATTTTGAACAGATTGCAGTATATTTTGCACCTTGCAGCAGGTAGTAGATAGATTGTCTGCAGTAAATAATAAAGTCGCCTATGTTTATGGAAAAAGAGAACCACCAACCTTGTAGTTGTTTTCTCAAATGTTTATTTCTCCTGGACAGTGAGCCGAATCTTAAAAATAATAATTTTCACGGGAGTTATTTCTCCCATGTTTTCTGGCGTGTTGGCTTTTCTTCCTTAACCACACTATCCTCAGCTCTTGGTTTACCCAATGAGGTCGCTATTGTGGACCCTGAATCCATTTTGTCCCCTGAAGTAGCAGTCCAACAGGTCCAGACGATGACCAGTATTGTTCTTGCCCTGCTTTCTGAGCCATTTTGTGAGTATTTATTATGAAAATATATACTTTTTTTTCCTCTGCAAAAATGTCATATGTTTTTGTCTCTTATTACAGGCCACATATTTTCAAATCCCGAAAAGGTTAATGATAAGTTTGAATCTGGCACTTGGTGAGTAAATGGCATTGCATATTATTATAGTTTCAATTTTTTTTCTTTTTCAATGTTATTTTAAAATGGATTTATCTATGCAGCAGTAAGATGGAGAAAGTTTCTGACAACACGGTTATCCGCGCCCGAGGGCTGCCATGGCAGTCATCTGATCAGGACATTGCTAGATTTTTTAGAGGCCTTAACATTGCCAAGTATGTTTTGTTGATTAATAATAAATTTAAATAAATATGTAAAGTCAGATATAATAACATCACTCTGTGTACAGGGGAGGAGCTGCCTTGTGTCTGAACGCTCAGGGCAGAAGAAATGGAGAAGCTCTTGTACGTTTTGTGAGTGAAGAACACAGAGATTTGGCTTTGCAGAGACACAAACATCACATGGGCAACAGATACATAGAGGTAACCTGTTTAAAGTCAATACGTTTATTACTTATATATAGCTGTCATAATTCTTAAAATACATTTCTCTTACAGGTTTACAAAGCAACAGGGGATGACTTCTTGAAGATTGCAGGAGGTAAGAATTTTAATATTTTGTTTCTTTTCCTTTTAAAGATTTTGTATACAAACTACATAGCCAAGTGTATTAAAAAGGCATCTGAACTTAATATTTCATTGTTAAAATGTCTTATTTAATTGCCTAACAGATAAGTTAGGACAATGCTGTAATGTCATTATTGTTATTATTTACTTCAGACACCTACTCCTTAAATATATTAGCAGAATAGATGACCTTTAAAAGTAAGTATGAAAGTTTCTAGAAATCTCAGTATGGAGAAATATTTTTACAGTTCAGCAGAAGCGAATGTGAATGTCTGAGCTTTTATACTTAAAGCCCCAGTTTGTAACCTTTAAGTAAAAAAAATATACTAAAATTAAAATGTCCTTACTGTGACTGGGCTTGCATCTCCACAAACCTGGCTCTTATTTGCCCTAGAAAATGGCCACTGGTTTCTTTACCTATAATCTTCCACAGTATGACATAAAATGTATGTATTTTCATGGAATTATGTTCCACCTCCAGAAAGTTAAATACGGTTGCTTTAAGTAAGATCTTTGTTGATTGGTCAGGTTTATGCACCAATATATGCACCACTGTTATTATTTTAACACTTTTTAGTATAATAATAACCTTGGTGTACCTCTTGTTTTAGGGACTTCAAGTGAAGTGGCCATGTTCCTGTCCCGGGATGATCAGATCATCGTGAGGATGCGAGGGCTCCCATTCACCGCGACTCACGAGCAGGTGTTGACCTTCTTCTCACCGGAGGACGGGCTTAAGGAGATGTGTCCCGTGAGCGGAGGGAGGGAGGGCATCCTGTTTGTCCGGTATCCCGATGGACGCCCGACTGGTGATGCTTTTGTTCTGTTCTCCTGTGAGGAGCATGCTCAAAATGCCCTGAAGAAACACAAGGAGATCCTGGGGAGGAGATATATCGAGCTGTTCAAGAGCACAGCAGCAGAAGTCCAGCAGGTACCATACCAGGGGAGCAAAGGGGTACTGTGTGTGCCTGTTGTGTGGAATTGATTAACTTAAATGACTTCCATAACATGAATAAAAAACAGTATGTGTGTGTGTGAAACCCATGAATAATAATAATAATAATAAACTTTAACTGACTTTAAGTAAAGGCAAGAAAACCTAAGCCATCAATCTACAACACTGACTGAACAAAGTTAAAATCATCTGTGTAATTTGTCATGTAGGGTGCACAGTAAAGGAAAGTTGAATTCCAGAACTCTCGATATAAAGGTTGGACTTTTCACTTTTAAAACTTTTGTCCAGTTGTAGTTCAGCAAATTTCTATCCTAGTTGGACTTTTCTGATCTTTTACTTCAAGCATTAGATTATTAGCCTATTCATGATTTCATACACATGCCATTTTGTGGACATTTAAACATTCAAGGGAGATTTTATGTAGAATTGTAAATAGCTATGACAACACAATATTATTTTTCATAATTTTGAAACCCATGACTGGAGCTCCTTTGTTCGGTTTGGTCTCTTCTCACTCATCACCATAAACCTGTTAATGCAAACGCATTAACAGGTTTATGGTCTTGTCTCTGTGCCCACATAGATCCTTTCCTCATGTGTTTTATGTGTGACACCAGCAGGAGCAATGCAGCAATGCAAACACTGGTGTCCTGTTGGCAGTGAGCCAGCTCCAGTCTAACATTACATCACAACAAAACGGAAAAGCCCATGAAGCGATCGCTCCTCTTTTCTGCTTTCTTTCTTTCTTGTTTTTTGTTTTGTTTTGTCACCTGAGCAGCTTAATTTGGATATTTTACCTTTGAGAAGACTAAAATTAGTTTTTATTTTATCTTAATCAGTTGATTAACTTGATATTGTATGTGTCTCTCAGGTGCTAAATCGATATTCTTCAGCTCCTTTGATCCCAGTGGCCCCTGCCCCACTGGTGTCTGTGCTGCCTGCAATGCCTCTCCTGCCCCCTCCTGGCACCCTCAGGGACTGTCTGCGGCTCAGAGGTTTGCCCTACACGGCCAGTATTGACGACATCCTTACTTTTTTGGGCGAGTTCATACACGACATCCGGCCCCATGGCGTTCATATGGTTCTGAACCAACAGGTACGTGAGCAGCACCTGTTTGTCTACTAGTGTCTTTCTTACATCTTAACACATCTATTACGATGTACGATCAGGGCCGTCCATCGGGCGACTGCTTCATCCAGATGACGTCCCCAGAGCGGGCGCTCATGGCGTCTCAGCGGTTGCACAAACATGTGATGACGAGCCAGCGTGGGCAGAACAGTCGATACGTGGAGGTCTTTCCGTGCAGCGCGGAGGAGATGGGGCTGGTGTTGATGGGCGGCTCGCTCTCTCACACACACACACGCACACAGAGGAGTGGGACAGGGCTCAGCCCGCCGCCATGTAAGTCCAGACGTAAGTGCTGCTGGGAGCTGGGGTGCTTCGGGCCTGCAGGGTAGGTGGGTCTCTGCCATCGGGCCAGTGTGGCTGGGTTTCCTTAGAACTTTGGATAATGGGACATTGGTCTATTCCAAATCATTTAGTGTGTTTTGTGAATCATTGGTCAGTTTGCATGTTTTTGACACTGTTAATTCTGGACTCATTCTGATAGAATTAGATTATAAGCATGTTCACTGGCTGTGAAGTCCAATCTTTATTCGTACATTGAGAATCTGAGTGGGTTGGAAAAGTGTAAGCAAACAGCAGTCCCCAACAATAACTCTGAACATGGCTTACAACTCTCCAGTCTTATCAGATTGTATTGGTGTTTGTGGGATTAATGCACCTTAGGTTTGCTCTTATCCTTATCCAATCAGGGGACCTGTGAAAAAGGTGGGCAGAGCGCTGCTGCTTAGAAATAAGCTTAAATTAGAGTAATACAGTAGTAACAAACTATTGCACTTTTGATGTGAAATACACCTGTGTATATGTGTTCTGCAACATGAATGGGCTCAATGTTAAAAACATGTAATCACAAAATATGTTTCCTTAATAGTAATGTTTTTATTTGCATGTTTGCACGTTCTTTCTTTTGAACCCAATCATAAAGTATTTTTAAACTTATAAGCAAACTCAAGAGCTTAAGTTTCTTTCTAAATCTCTTTTAATTTCCAGGTTTGTCTCCACCATCGTACTCATTCGCTGCAGCTCCTCAGGTCCTCACAGCGGAGGCAGCGGCCGCTCTTTACCCTCCCTTTGGTCAAATGCTGCTGGCCCCTCGCCCCCTGCCCCCTGGACATGGTTACTACCCTGCCGCCTCTGCTCAGCTCTACATGAACTACTCTGCCTACTACCCCAGGTAAGCACCATAACTGCCATGTTTGTACAGTCATAATCTCACTCACAATTTCATCAGTTAGTCACTAGATCTTATTTTTATTCAATATAGACTCAATATCATGTTTTCACAGTTTTAAACTAAGTAAAAATAAATAACCTCTCTCAGACAAGTGTAATAGTACATGTCTCAAACTTCTATTTCAATGGGAACGTTTCCTACAAGGGTAGTTAATAACTGAACTCTAGTATCAGAAAAGCCTTGGTAAACAGCACTGACCCCTGTGTCCCTCACACCAACAAAAGCAGGTCAGATTTGATCAACAGCTAACACTGAGCTAAGTCTAATCACAACAAACAGTTTCACAACATAATAACGGACTTTTCTTCAGTCCACCTGGCTCACCCACCACCATCGGCTTCTTCCCCTCCCCCTCGGCCCTGACCTCTCCAGGGGGACTGGTGCGCATGCCAGGCCTGCCCTACCCCACTAATGGAGTCAAAGACATCATTAACGCAGTGCAGGGATACCAGGTAAGAGGCACTTGTTTTGTGTTTAAAATACCTTAAAGTTCCCTGTGTAGGTCAAAAAGTAGCTCTGCAGCTCAGCTCTTTATTCAAATCTTGTTAGGTGGGTGTGTAACTTGTGAGGTGTTCGCCCTGAGGCCGTCAAACCCGTTTGTCCTGTCTCCTCTCCCTCCTTTCCCTCCTCACCCTCCACTCCCTCCTTCCCCTCCTCCTCTCTCTCCCTCCCCTCTCTTGCCTCCTCTCCCCTCTTCTCCCTCCTGTCTCTCTCCCTTCTCTCCCTCGCTCCCCTCCGTCACTGCCTGCTCAGACTTGAATCTGAAGAGCTCAGTCCTTAAGAGTGAAAGTGAGGAAGGCCTGGTCATAAAACAGTGATTATTTAGTGACTTTACAGAGACTAATGAGTTTGTACGTTATCCCCCAGACTAACCTATAACAGTACCAATGACTGTACTGAGTTTACAGAGTTGAAGCATGTATTTGGTTAGCTGTCTGTTGTCTCAGCACATGTTTTGTTGCCCACATCACAGTACTCTGCAGAGGATGCTCTGGTGCACGCACCCGTGCACACTCAGGACCCGTCCAGGACACTTCTTACGCAGCCCAAAGAATGGGTGTGTATTTAAGGTGTCAGAGGCAGGTGGCAGGTAAGGATTGGCTAAGGGTGCTCTCAAGGGACAAACAGTAGATGGAGGTTGCAGCATGCCTTGGGTCTTGCCTGGTTGGTTTTGGAAGGCCTTTCAGTTACTGCACAATTCATAATAGACATTTCTTCACAACTAGCCAGTCCTTACATCTTGGTTATTTTGTTTTTATGGGAAATAAAAGGATTCCCCTGGAGATTCCCCTGGGTGTTGGAGTGTTTGGTGGTTTGGTGACACACAGAGGCAGATCCTGGGCTACATTTTGGGTGATGGGTGTCTCTGACATGACTGAATGCTTTATAGAGCCAACAGTTTCTCTCTGTCCTTCAGAGCCCAGGAGAAGTCTCTGTTCTGAGCAGCAGTCTGATTGGACAGTCCAATGGAGGAGATGCCCCCGTGATGTCCCTCCCCCTGGTGAACAAGCCCGCAGGGCAGTTTTTGGACCTATCCCTGCTGTAGGGACGCACTACGCACACACATAAAGGTCATGTGACAGTCAGTCCAGTTTGTCAAAGACTATTTATGTATTTTAGGTTTTTTAAATAGTCCTTAGAAATTTTATTTATATGTTAAAATTATACTTGTATTTTATACCAAATCACTAAGGCCTTAGCCAAATAGCAATTGTCTTTTATTGCACAGTGTATTTTAAAAGCTTTATAGATTTTTTTTTTACCATGTTAAGACATTGTGATTATTATTGCTGAAACTAGAGAAGAATAATCTTGTAGCAACTGAGCTAACCATTGTCAGTGAACCAAAGTATAAGTGTGAGTGAGTTTGTGAAATGAAAGAGTGAACAACATGCATGAATGCGTAGTTAGACATTTTTATATGTTAATGACATAGCTGTTTGTGTTATATACAGATTTTATACATAACATGTGATTGTATTAAAAGCTTTAGTGCATGAAGTTTAGTTAACCTCTTAAGATGTTTACAGAATGCCAAACGCAATGCACTGCTAATCAAAAAAATACTGATGAAATATTTTAGCAGTATCCTCTTCCTATGTTACACTGTGAGCTTGTCCTAGCATCAGGTTTGACGTTTCACATTCGTTTTACCCAGTTACCTGAACCTGTGCAGCCAAAATAATTGTCCATGCTCAGGGCTTGATGTTGAACTTTTTGCTCACAGGTCACTTCTGTGCAAATAATACCAGACAATTAGTTTTAGAAAATTCAGTAGCTACGATTAACATACATTATTTGTGTATGTATTTAATAAATAACATCATGATTATTTTAAATATCTCTGTGCAAATGTCCAAATTTAGGAAGATAAGACTTTCTATAATTTATCTGTAATATTTTGTGATTCATGTTGCATTGTAAATAGTGGCTTTGCTCCAGATTTTTTGGGGTAAAACATGTAAACATGCTGTTCAGAGCTAAATTATATAAACTTTTTCAGTGTTTGTAATGTATTTGGACTGTTATTATAGTAAAATGGTAAATGCTCACATTTTTTATACAGTGCTTTTCTACCTTCAAGGCACCCAAAGCGCTTTACAACAAGGAACCACTCATACATTCACACACACTTTCACATACACCAGTGTACACTGGGGGCAAGATGGGTTAAGTGTCTTGCCCAAGGACATCACAACAGCGTCCATCTGTGGGAGCTGGAATCACACCAGCCAACCTGTGGGTCAGTGGACAAATGCTCTTACCAATTGAGCTATCACAGTTTTTAATTTCAAAGCCCTAATTCATTCATAATTCAAATGTACTTTATTGATGTTGCATGAAGACAGTTTACCAATCCATGTCTTTAATCCTTTTTACATTTTTCATCACTGATCATAATTAATTACTTTCAAAAACATATTCTTGACTATGCAAAATGAGACAAAAAGTGTTGCTAGCAAAAATCTTCCAGAAACGTCAAGCCCTGTGTATGTGTTCTGTATTGCCAATGTTGTTTTGTCTCTTATTTTGGGGCTAAACCAAAACAGAGGACAGCCCCAGTTCTTGTAACCTAACCTCAAGAGTTACATTCTTAAAGTCGTCTCATGTTATCAGACACCTGCAAAAAGCCAGCGGTGGTTTCACAAACTCAAAACAGGACAACAAAGCTTCGTTCTTTTTTCCTTTCCTACCTTTGCATCATCTGCTTTCACCTCAGGAAAAGAGAGTGATGGAGGGTGGACTGGAGATGGGAGGATGAGAAATTACAGAAAAGTGTTTATGTGAAATTATGAAAGATATGTTCTGTTGTTTTAGACCAAAATCCACCTGCTCAGGATGTCCTGTTGAAACAATAAAAGTGAGATGTCAACTTTACTCCTGTTCTTCTGTTTGTACTGCTTCACAAATACAAAGAGCAAACATGGGCAGAGTCTGTATTGATGGAGAAAGGCAACGGGCAAAACTGTGGGAACTCAGTTACGTTTAGCTGAGTTCCTTCGAAAAAGTACACAGTGTACATAATAATACTAGTAATTCAATTGTGATCTCATTCCTGTAACGATCTACTATTTTTATATTGTCATTTTGATCAGTCATTTTCTGGTTCAGTGGTTACTTTAAAAAACTATGCCACTCGCTGCGGTTACATGCACACTCAAAATGTGATTAACAGATTTTTTTTTGAGTTATAAGATTGTTAAAATGACATGTAAAAAGCAAAATGATATGGTCCCACTGATGACTCACATCATAATTTGTGGTTTGCATGTCATTTAAATAGTCTTTAAAGGTCCACAAATTAGATAATAATTCCATTTTTGCTGTGCATATGAATATAGCCAAGTGTATTTCGTGAACAAATGACACAATAAACTACAGAGAAAATTACAAAAATTACAATCATTACTATCAATTCACTGTCAGTTTAATTTTGCAATGGTTAAAGGTTTGGTTATTTTTCTTTTAGACACTGTGCAGCTGGTATGTCTCTTTATGGGCGCGTTGATCTTGATGACTTGGTTTGGTTCTGATCAGTTCTGGCGTAGTCCATGTTTAGTCACAACTTTACTGTGAACGCACCCAGTAAGTGTCAAAGCATCACGCTGACATTCCTGTTTACTAGGGATGTAATAATAACCTAAATATCATGATATCGTGTCATCAAAGTTCTCACAGTAATATCATGGACCATCACAATATATCGAATTGCAAGTTTATTTGCTTAAATTAAGAGTTATGGTGCAGAAAAAAGACCAAAGGAACTACATAAACCATGATCCTTTGCTTCATTTCAGTATAGACTACAAGAAGAAATAACAGTTCTAAGCACTTTAAAGTCTTAGTTCTTTGGATTAAGTCTTGTCAAGGCATTTTAAGAGGAAAAAGTAGCATATTAACAGTTTTGTTAACCTCCACAATATATCGCAATAAATATTGTACCGTGAGATGTGTATTGTGAAAATATCGTACCGAGAGATTTGGATATTGTTACGTCCCTAATTGTGAGCCTCCCCACGAAAAAGCAATAAATACCATACTGTGAGGTTCATGCTGTGACAATATAATTTTCTGAGTCTTTGATACCATTACAGCCGTACTGTTTACCCTTTAACGATGTACATTTTCTCTATTTCAGTGCTTCTACAGGCCTGTATTCTTTGGAAATGTGTGCATCATTTCATGTTTGTCACATCGGGTGACACAAGTTTTAAGGGTGCGCTCAAACTTGTACAAATAATAAAACTATACTATACTTGGAACTTTAAAACTAACCCAGGACTAAACCAGGAGTAGAACAGGGTCAAAGGTATGAGCGCACCTTACATCAGATAACACTTCCAAATATTTACTCAAAACCTATTTATTTTTAGTACTTACGTCACATTTCTGTATGAGAAATTATTTGAGCCACTACTTTCTGCTTATATTTTGAAGTAGCTGAACTCTTGATACGAGACACACAATTTTATCTACTCCACCCCATCTGATTCTGAACAGCCTATTGTCACTCAAACACATTAAACCCATCTGAGAGGAGGGCATCATATTCACAGAGCGGACAAGGGAAGAATGGGCAGCAGGAAGGAGAGAAGGAGAGGAGGAGGAGAGGAGGAAGAGTGTCAGACCCCCGCAGGGCAGATTTTGCATTGTGTAACATAATATTGAGCACCCCACCCAACGCTGCTGATCCCTTTAAACATAAACCTATTATCTCATCCAAACCAGTAGAGCAGCACCTTCAGTGACTGCAACAAAGCGGCACTAAACACTTAAATGCTTAAAAAGTAATTAAACATGTTCCACTTTCACAAATTGTGCCATAATCATTTTGATAAAAAGATATAATTAACTTAATTGATGAATGACTTAGCCTGCTTTTTATTGTGAATGTTAAAGGGCTGATATTACTTTATTTTTAGATCTATGTTATAATGTTTCTTCAAAATCATACCCGCAGTTGTGTTTAGTTTTATTCACATATGTTTAACGTACAAACCCTGCATATTTAGACTGAGTTCATCTCTCAAACAGAAAACACTCTACTTCCAATTTGTGATATCATGTGGTAATACCCAAAATGCTCCACTGTGTTTTTAAACTTTATATACCTTCATTAGAAACACTTGCATAATTTCAGACCTTTGATTTGCCAATCGTTATTGAACAAAGTTAAAGCTTAGCCTACCGCTTCAGAACAGAGCATTTTGAGTTTTGGAAATGTAAACAGACTAATAATCCATTGTTACTCAAACTTGTGTGAACTCCAAGTCTGATTTTGAAGACAGTATAACACAGCTTAAAGGTCATGTTACTCATACTGCATAATATTATTTGCAAGATAGCATTTGCACACTTTCTAAATGAATAAATCAAGAAATATGTGCGGATAAAATTACCTATATGATAAATTCATAATATATATAGGCCTACATTAGTAGAGAGCATTGACTATTGGTTATTTATTTAGTTTATTTAGGGCAGACATGTCAAACTAATTATATTTGGCCTGCAAGATTATATCAAATATGTATTAGAGCTGGCCCAGCGGCTACAGACAGGTTAGAGAGACATTATTTATTGAAAATTGTGTTATTATTTTGTATTATGCTTGTTCTGGATTCAGTGTTTAACCAAAACTATTATTAAACATTTATTTTAATGAGAAAAGGTTTAACATTACATATCTCAAACTAAGAGAAAACATGCAGATGTTGTTGGAATTTTTCAATAAATATTTATTTTGGCCCACGACTTAGTCCTAGTTTTTAATTTTGGCCCTCTGTGAATTTGAGTTTGACACCCCTGATTTAAGCTTTTTTTCTCTCTCCAAGATTATATGACTCTTTTAATAGCTTTCTGAATTTTTCAAACAAAATGTAGGCCAATAGGGTGAGAAAACTGCAAAGATGCAATTTCTTACGCCACATTAGTAGATTTTCATGTCTTATTTTAAGCTATTATCCTGTAATCAGTTGGAAATGTCATGAAAGTGCAGTGATCAAAGTTAGAGATTCTCAGCATAATGCCACTAACAGAACTAAGTAACGCCGCAGGGTCAAATCAGGTCTTAAATTCTTAACTAAATGGCGAACACAAAAAGGACAAATCTGAATAATTGTTATAATTGTTGATTGTTGAAACAAATTAAACCCACATTTAGTATCACAGGTTAAAAAGCGCTGAGCTGGTTCATTAAAGGCGTGTCTTTTCTGGTGTAGTGTTTGCCACCTGCTTGTCTCCATGGAGATGTTATTGCTTTGCTGGGAATATATGATTAAACATATTTATCTACATGGTAACAAACAGGTGACACCTCTAGGTTAAGTTACAGGTAAGATCTGTGGAGAAGTGAGCCCACACAGCAAGAATGTATGTTTATCCAAGGTATTTTAGTAGAGTAAATAAAACCTGCTAGGCCTGTATGCAATAACCTACTGGAAAACATAGGCAAAACATAGCAGCATCTCCACGAAGACAAGCCAAGTTACGCAGCTGACTTTTATATGAATCTAAAATAATAGGTCTGCATTATTATTCTGAATTCAAATCCATTAAACCTACAGGCAATTTCACTTTTGCATTGAACTTCTGTCTCCTTGCGCACCTTGTCTTGTGAAATGCAGGTGACGGAGAGCAGAGCTAAGTGGGATTCAATTACAGGTTGACTCATAGGCTGTAGGTGTGTAGACTTGAGGCTGCTGTAGATAAAGCTGTAATGGCCTTTATAACTACATTCCCTCACAGGGCGGGAGAGGCTCAGGGCGCGGCCAGCCACATTCCCATGTCACTGCATCTGAATAGAAAGATGCTACTTCACATTTGTCAAACCGATGATGCAGAGTTTATTAAAACGTGACAAAGGCAAAAAAACAAAAAAAAGAAAAAAAAAAAAAGAAAGAAAGAAAAAGAAATAGACTACAGGCTTAACTCTAGACTTATGCGCCTCTGATCTAAAAGACGGATAGCTTAATTAAATAAACTATTAGGCTCAACTCTGATGATTTGCCTTATTAGCCTGTTTTGATTTATGACCAAAACAGAAAATCCAATTAAAAAGTGTTGTGTAAACGTGAAGATGTGTTGAGCTGCCAGTGATTATTGACCCATGGTTTGTCTCCTCCTAGTGGACAGACAGATATTGTCACAAATCTGGGAAAGATGTAATAATAATAGGTTAAAACTTTCTTTCTTTTTTTCTCAGATAAGATCATTCAGAGTCCAACATGGTAAGAAAACGCTATAAATAAACTAATGAATACTTTTCATTAGCCTCATGTGCCATACAGTTTACAAGTTCATTGGAAACTGAGTAGAGTCTGACAGGTTATTTCTTCAGTGCTTAAATTATAGCTGAATTAAATAATAAACATGAAGCTCCATAAAATAGGCTAATGAAAGTTGAGAACTCTTAACTTTTAAAGGCAAGGTTATATATTTAAATAAAGTTCTCTTGAATACACATTTTAAATTAAGGAGATATTTATTTTCTTAGTGACAAACATGTATTCGCTCATACAGTAACAAAAACAAATAGTTAAATATTCCAAACAACTTTAAACAGTCTGTGTTGCACTATCAATGACACAGAAATGATTTTAAAAGACGCACTATGTAACCTTCCCGGTGAAGGACCCGTCACCTGCTCATCTCCATGGAGATACTATTGCTTTATCTGGAATGTTCCACAGTATGACATTAGACCTGTTCATCCCCATGGAGACAAGCAGGTAATGCCAGTGGAGATGTAAGACTGCTAACAGAAAATAATTCATGTTTTTTGTTTGGTTTTTTTTGGAGCAATAAAAACATAAATAAAATATGAGATAGATAAACTGAATGCTATTGGTATCCATGGAGACAAATGGAGGCAGATC